AATAGCAATACAAAAATGTAAGCATAAAATTGTTTTCAATTTTAGTTTTTATTTATGTTTAATAATCATCATAAGCCCAAATATTTTTTTAATGATCACTTAAAGTGTAAAGACTTGATGTTAGTCACATAAAAAAACTCAAAATGTATTAATTGGCTACCATTTGGTTAATCAATCAATTCTAAATGTTTATTGTACGTCAGCTGTTTTGATGAGTAATGTAATAATTTGCTTTACTAATTTAACTTTGTGGTAACATTTGTATGAAGAAGATGCATTGTACTTTATTCAGATAAATTGTGTTTGGAGAAACTTCAAATAACTGAATGGAATTGGTACAATGAACTTACACTAAGTTACCGTAACAATAAATACTTAAGTTACTTCTACTCACATCAAATATCTTTCATACATATTGTTTAAGTTTAAAACTTAAATCTATTTCCTCAAACAGTTTGAGTTGAACTAACTCATCAGGTTTTACAGCATGTTTCTTCGTATTTTCTCCACCTTCGGGTCGGGACTTCATGTGCTGCCAAACTAGTTGAGCAGTAGCCATTTGCTGTGCATGCAAAGGCCTTTCATTGCAACAAGAGGCAACCCCAATCTTTCCCAAATTAGACTGCCGGGCCTGTAGGGAATTTTCCCCAAGCTATTTTTTGGCCGAAGTGGACCTGCTTATGATTAGCATCAGTATTTTCCACTGCGGTCGAGGAATAATCTCTGGACACACACATTGTCAGTGCTGGCAAATCACTTTGCCTGAAACATGAGCCACGCTCATTTGCATAATGAGAGCCAGGTCGCTTATGTAATCTTGCACCTGATATGTATTAGTGCATACGTGTTTGTTGAGTCTCTGGGGTCCTATCCTCCCTGGAGAATAATGAATAAACATAAAATAAGGGATAGTACGATAATGCAGATCTCTGTCAGCCATTTCCTTTCTCATCTTTATCCCAGGAAAAAGTCTATGTGTGTGAATGTGATCTGCCTGAAACACAGACCACACACGTTTGCATGAAGGCAAAGCCACTGAGAGGCGTGTGCTCCTTATAAAAACATTTAGCTCATACGTGCGTGATCCCCTGCCGCCTGCAGGGCCTCCCCACTCTCCGGATCCAATATCAGGAAGTGCAATATCAGGTTTCAGTGTGGTTTGGATTGATTTCCTTTTGGCGTCTGTCCCGTCTGCACCTTTAACTCCAGGAGTTTAAACAGGCTTATTTGAGGATTGACCTTTTTCCTATTTATAATGAAGTTTCGATTCTGCTGTCAGATTTTCATGAAACATGTGAAAATGAGCCACATGGATAGACTGGGACAGAGGTTTAAAGTAAGAGCTGACTCCAAGGGGACTCACAGAAACCTCTCCTGGTCCCGTTCACTGATTAAGATACATATGTGTGTTTTTCTATTATGTTCAACAAATGTACTACTCTGAGTCAGCTGAGTTAGCTTTTCCTCTACAATCAAATGGATTTTAATTAATTACTTTTCTTGGTTGATTAGGTTACTCATAAAAATTAACTTGTTTAAGCTAGTTTTTCCATGTTATTTATGTCAACACAACTCATCGGAATAATATTTGCAACTTAAAAGGTTTCTCTATAGTTCATTTAACTCAAAACATTGTTAAAACTGATTCCATAAAAATCTTTAAGTAACACTAACTCAGTTTTTTAGGCTAAAAAAGATTCTTGATTAAGTCAAGTGGCACCAACTTACTTTTGTAAGTTACAGAAACATTCCTGATAAATTACTTGATACTTGGTACTTTGTTTTCACAGTACAAATAAAAATTACAAAATTAAGTAATTCTAACTTAAAATGACTATAGCTACTTAATCAAGAATGTTTTTTTTATCTTTCAAAAATGTTGATGTAATCAGTTTCAACATTTTTTTGAGTTAAATTAACTTGTTTTACAGTGTAAGTGGTGGTAATAAATGAATTACTTTTAAAGTATATTGGTATTACCACAAATAATGTAATATGTAATGATTATTTTATATGGGCTATGCATGAAATATATACTGTTATATTGTCATTCACAGACAAAGAAACATACATTGACTGACCTCTTACAAACACACTGCTATAAAACTTAGAACAGAAATACAAACAGACTTATTTTGGGATTTAAAAACCATTGTATTTAACCGTGTCCTACAACTGGGGTCTCAAACTGAAGTTTTAAAAGACAAAGAGGGCCAGAGGTCTCAGGACATTAATGTTAAAATGATAAAAGTTCCAATTAGTGAGGCTGACTGAGTGACACACTGGGTGGATAAATACAGAGAGGAGGGATAGATATGACAGGATTAGACCTTCTTAATCCTGTACATGACATGAAGTTTGGGCTTGGGACGAATATTACACAGAGACAAAAGCCATGTTTAAAATTGTGGAACCCACTGTTGTAGTCTTAAGCTGCTCTCTGCCAGACTGAGGGGATTATCCACAAAAACATACTTAAAAAAAAAAGCCGAAGAAACGTCATTCTCTATTATTAGCACACTCCAACTGAAAGAGATCACAAACAGGGTGTTTTAATAGGATTATAAACACTGCTAACAAAGATGTGCTAGTGTTATAAATCTAATTGAAAAACAATGCTTGTAAAAGAGCTTAAAAATATGGCGGCTTGTCGATCGGGAGTTACAATTAAATGTCTTCTTAATTACCAACATGTGGCCTTTATTACAATAAACCAACCGATAGCTTTAAATGTACAGCCTGTGTTTATTTATGGAGCCACAAAAGGGGCAAAATCACAGATTTAACTGAATACATCAATAAATGAATATATATATACAAATATAAATATATAAAACACTGTTAAATAATTTGACGTTCAATCAGGTGAAGACAAAAGTTGTAAAATGACAAACCCATTATTCCAGTGGTCATATGTTAATGCACACTGCCCCCTAGTGAATAATGTGCAGAAGTGACTCAGAGCTGCTGTGATGTGGAAGCTCCCGGCCGTCACTCTTCAGGGCGATGTCAGTCTGATGCTGAAGCCGTGTGAGTCAAATGCAGGGTGTATCTTATGTAATACAATGTTAATGCTTTATGAATGCTTTGGCAACAAAGGGCTTCCATACAATGTCATTAATTAGCTTGTGTATGTGTTTTTTTTTTAAGGTCAAAAGTGGCCAGATTTCATACAATGTGGGACAATAAAGTGAATCTTGGATGTTCAACTGTGACATCCTTTTTAGGGCAGAAAGCAGAGGTGGAAAAAGTACACACACTCAAGAGGAAGTACAGATACTTTCAAAAAATACTTCCTTACAAACTTCTTACTTTTTTACCAGCTGTTACTGTGCAAAACTCCCTGAGACTTCAAATAAGGTTGAGTGTCTTTCACTTGTCTGTTGTGTCTTTCTGCTTCCGTCATGTGTGATATTCACCGGTCTGGATGTTGGGAAGGTGAGCAGTGATGCAGAAATCGATAACCTCAATTATTACATAATAATAATATATAATAACCTCCAAATGCAGGAGAGAAACTGTCCCTTTCCATACTGTAAGCTCTGCCGCAGCCGTTCTCAACCATTAGTTGCCTCGGAGGTAGTGGAACTGCCAAATGGTGAGATAGAAAAAAAGAAGTAAGTTTTAATCTTCAGACTGCTGAGAAGAAGGCCACATACAGATCTGAACTTCCCAGGTTTAGAACAGCCCTGTGTGTTCTCCTCTGATCGAAACCCAGCAATGTTCTCTTTGGCAAACAGATCCCGACCACAGAAAACAACAATATGGTCGCTTTGAGTAAAACAATCAAATCTAATATAGGAAATAAAAAATCAATAGGTCGCGCAAAACACAATATCCTTCGACAAGAGTTACTGGAGAGCAGCTTGTGGAACCAAAATAAAGAATTCTGTCTCTAGTTACCCGTCCTCTTAACATTTTCTTGCTGTTTGAACACAAACACAAAATAATAAAAGCTAAATTTGATGCCTTGAACCTGAAACACATTCATGCAAACCCTGAAAACTAAAAGGCACACAGAATGAGCCAAAACCACAACACAGCGCGCAGAGAAGACAGGGTCAAAGTGCACACCTTTAAAACCTTAAAACGTTAAAAATAATCTGAAAACAGTACGATGGGGAACTTCTGCGTCTCATTTATTTCTCTCATGTAGTTGCAAAATAAAGTATTGTACTTTGCCTGCAGGTAATTAGCATCACACACACACACACACACAAGTGCAGCTGCTCAGTCACACATTTCACACACTGACTGTGTGAATCATCCATCTGGGATAAAAGAATCAGTGTTCGTGGTTCTTTTAGGCTGATGAAGACACAACAGCAGTTTTTGGACACTGAACTGAACACATGACACCACGGGTTCACAAACTACGGTTCGAGTACCCCTGGTGGCACTCAGAAAGTGTAAAAAAAAAAGTATATAAATTATTTAAAAACCTATTATACACTCAAAATACTAGACATTTCAAATGAAAATACTAATATTAGATGCATTATCTTTATTAATAAAGAATGTGATCAAACTAATTTAAAGGAAAGTGAAATATTTTGGGATGGTTTGCTTTCTTGCTGACCTGACAGCTTTTTATGCCTGTATGATAAATATGAAGCTGTTAGCATAGCTTAGCATAAGATTGGAAACAATTAGCCTGGATCCATCCAAAGGTAAATAAAATGCAACTAGCAGCATCTCTGAAGCTCACTCACTAACATGCTGTACCTGGGTAATAATGAGCTTACTGGTTACTTTGCAGTTTTTCAATTTTTTTTTACCAGCACCAGCTACTTCCTGAAGCTAAGCTAAGCTAACCAGTTGCTTCATATGTCACTGTACAGACAGAAGAGCTGTATCAAACCGCTCCTCTTTTTATCTGAACTAACTGAACTTTTGGCCGTCACAGTAACGCAACCTCTGAACGGTTGATTCAAGAGGCAATCTGTGGACGAGAGAGCAGGTAAAAAAAAAAAAAAAAAACTGTAAGGACTATACAGCCATAAAGTTTTATGGGGACTGCCGCATTTATTTCATTTTTCAACATACATAAAACCATATGTGCACTGTAGCCAAAAAACGCTGGTATTTACAAAAAAGAAATGGATATACACAAAAAGGATTATAATAATTATAATACAACCAAAGAAAAGAAATCCTTCAGTAATCCTCACAACAACAACAGCGCAAATACGAACAAAACTTATTTTTTGACACCTTGTAAAGTTTTTGTGCAGATATTCTTTTATTACAAGGAATTATATTTTACAAAACTCAGATGCACATCAAATATGCAAGCTGCGGCCCACATTCTCTGGGTGTATGAGTAAAAAAAAACCATAAGCTCTCATTGATTTACTCACTACACCACCACATACCTTCAGTGCATTAAATTTGTCTATTAAACACTAATTACAAAAGTAAAGTCTGTCGTCTTTAGTTTTCTGGTGAGTGAACGTACGGCGTGTGATTTCTAATGTGAGTGGGGCCGTTTAACTCAAACTCTTGTAGTGTTTCCATCCACAGCCTGATGGACATATGCGTCGCCCACTAACCGAGGCAGATAAACTTCCAACTCAACTCAGAACAAAAAAACCAGCAGGAAGCAGAAGTGGTGACTGCGTCCTCCGTTAGAACACTTTAAACTGGAACCACTGATGTCGGGAACTCTCCTCACAGAGCAGCAAATTCACTTTCAGCACCTGAGTTCTTCCACAGCCGGTCAGAGGTCACTCATGAAGCGTGTATTAAAAACGGCACAGAGCTACGAGAGGGGGCTTATTAATGTGAGCAATCAAAAAAAATAAAATAATAATAATAAAAACTATATTTGACTGAAAAAGAAGGCTCCTTCTTTAATATGTTGTTAGTTATTGTTTTAAAATTTTAGAAAGGATTTGTTTAAAAGCCTCATCTGGACTGAGACAAGCCATAATGTGGAGCGAAGGCCAGGATCCACAGCATTGAGGGGACAGAGATGGGCAGTGCTGCTACGTGAGATTAATTCTGCCTGTATACACACAGAATCAGAAATAATGAGACTACACAGCCATACCTGCCCTCTATACAGCCTCAGCATACTGGCCTTCCTCATGCTTTTAATGTGTTAAATTAAAGCTGTGTATTAAACCATGGCTCTTTGGGGATTAATGTCCAACATGACGTCATTAACAGTGATTTTATGATGCTGAAGCTAGTGATATTATCATGCTTTCTGAAAGAACACTGTCACGGTTACTGAATTCAAAACCCCCGATACGACCCCACGGTGGATTCACTGTTCCAGACCAAGATGAGTGAGTTTAAAAAAAAACAACAAAAAAAACACGCGTAACTGGTCAGCGTCTGGAAGCGTAGACAGTCTGTGTGTCAGAGAGGTGTTGGAGTCTGACGGTAAACCAAGGTTCTGTGCCTCACTCACATGTGACCAGTTCAATGCTCTTGGTCCAAAACGTTTCCTCCCAGCGCCGGTCCCCCAGGACCCCCTGTGGACTGTTGGCACAGAGCTACGATGACGATGATGATGATGATACTCTGCTACTCGACAAATATGGCATTTGTGTAACATTTAGCTGCTGTGGACACCAGTGTTGTTTAACTTAATCTTAACGTGAAAGCAAAGGAGGCGGGACAGAGAAACTGATCCTAAATCAGACACACTTTTAGCCATTAGCAGCTAGCTGACAGTCTTTCTGTAAAATAATATTTAAAACAAACTTTGCATGTCCTCCGGGTTGGAAGAAATGATAAAATAAATTAGTTTTATGCTGACACGTTTATTCTTGCGAGGGTGTGTGTGTGTGTGTGTTGCTGATTCTCGTGGCTGTGCCTGTTTATCCCAGCAGCAGCCCAGACAGAGCGTTCAGGTCTCTCATGTACGGGTTGTCGCTGAGGATGCGGTCGATCCGTTGCTTCTGGTCGGGGAAGATGTCGTACAGCTTTCGTTTCAGCTCCGACGTCTCCCCCGGCGACCGCTGGGGAGGGGGCGAGGGCGAGGGCGAGGGGGAACGGCGGGGCGGGTGCCATTCGGGAGGACCCGAGTGGGGCCATGCTGTGGTGGGGTGGGGCCATTCAGGGGAGGGGAGGGCCGGGGCGTGGGAGCCTGGTGCGGGGAGCCGACTGTGGGGGAGGGCCTGGACGTAGACCGCCTCTTGCTGCTGGGAGACGGGCCGCAGGTCTGGCGTCTCAGGGGGGAGGGGTGACTGGAGCCCCTCCTAACAGGGGGAGAGGGGAGGAGAAGAGAGAGAGAGAGACAGAGAGAGAGAGAAGACAGAGAGAGAGACAGAGAGAGAGAAGACAGAGAGACAGAGAGAGAGACAGAGAGAGACAGTTTTTTTTTAAACACACGCTATTTTATTTATTTATTTTAATTTTTAATATATTATTTTAATTTTCTAACACACACACGCTTACTACTGTTTTAATGACATTTTTAGTTGACACAAAGCTTGATTTGATTGATTGTACATGTAATTACTTATTGACTGAGATTGATTGATTGTGATTGTGATTGAGTCAATCATAGTTACAGTATTACCAACAGTATAGATTATAATTAATTTATTGTAAATATTGTTTTCCTTTATTGTTATTATTTTTAATTCCAAACGCTTGCTTTGGCAATATGTACAGTGTTACTTCATGCCAATAAAGCCATTTGAATTGAATTGAGAGAGAGGATGACATTTACTGCTACTTTTTGGGTGACTTTGAGTAAGTATTCTTTCAAATGTTTTAAAAAAAAGGAATATACAAATATAATTCATTCCTATCTATAGCCAATACATTCTTTTTTCTTTTCCTAAAGGTCCAGTGTGTAACATTGTTTATTGAACCTTTATTTAATCTCTCTTCAGAGGCAGACCTGACCAGTTACAGTTTAAACAGAAATAAAAACACAACTGACAGTGAAATCAATCATCATCACACACGAGGAAAGTTCAATTTCTCAGTTACATGGAGATTTAACACGGCCTCAAATTCCTCCGATGGGACTCGATCGTTAAGATACAGTAAGTCCAGGAGGCACAGGAAGAGAAACCGTTGCTCCCTATCTATTGGCAGAAATGGAATATAATATTCATAGCTATGTTTTCATTAGTGTATAATCAGCTCAACATAAGAATCTTTGTGTTTTTTTTATCTTTGTGAAGCTGACACACACCTGAAGGAGAAACATACCTGCCGTCTTTATGCAGAAACATGTCCAGATGAGGCCCGTTTCTCCCCAGAGGGTCATCGGGGATCATGAAGTGGTCCTCCACAAAAGTAAACTGAAGCAACCTGTTGGTGAAAAGGAAAGAAATGTGACTATTTCATAAAGTGAAATTAGTAAAGGCACAGTATGAAAACCTGTTCTAACAGACCATGTCTGTGTACTGTTGTAACTAATTATGAAACAGTCTCACTTTAATACACATGCCTCTATATGACCTATATAAATAAAGAAGACCATTGGCTGTTCATATATAGTTATTCTGTCAGATTCCCTTAAAATCTCAGAAATGAGGCAGTAGATACACTATCACTTTTGTCCACAGGGGGCACCACAATCCAGACAAAATGAAAGTTCCTTGTTACTGCTTTATCATTCTACAGTTGCAGTTTTAAACATGACCCCAGTTTCATATAAAAATAACACAAAGTACAAAAAGGCACATTGAAATTTCTCAGAAAAGCTTGATCCCAAAACTACCAGGAGATCCTTCCTCTGGAGGACTGAGACAGGGTGCGAGGGAGAGTGCAGCTGCAGGCTGTGTGGATGGTGACAACCAGTGTATAGCATCACACAGGGAACACATAGTAACTGTTTAGGAGACTTTTGAAAGACAACAATCCAAACTTTCTTCATTATTATTAGTCAAGATGAAGTCATTAATTTAACTGATAGATTTTATTGTACACTGATATTCTAATAAAGGCGTACTGAGCAGTTATAATGTTTTTGATTATAGAGTTATCTATTTGTTTCAGTTTAGTTATTATAAAAATGTTGAGTTTTTATTAGTTTCAGTGTTAATTTTAGTGTTTTTTTTATTATAATTTGGGTTTTTTTGTCAAATTTGTGTTGACAAATTTGAAAAGACATTTCCTGTGTTTTTGATTTTATTGTAATTTTAGTACACAATATCATTTTTTTTCTTTATTTCTCATTTCAGTTAATTTAAATAATAACATCTAGTTTTAGTTTTTAGTAAACTATAATAACCTTGGTAGTGAGCTGCTAAAATTGTATTAACAGTATAACACTTTTATAAGAAAAGTATGTAAAATCACAACGAATTTTACTGTGATCTTAAAAATGAGATATTTCTATAGTTTTTTGTATCCATTAGTTTTGATCATTTTATTTTAAATCAAATAAAAATATTTTTATTAGCATTAACTGCACACATCAGAAGTCCAACAAGGCTTCTGAGTGAGTGTTAATTGTCCTCTTCAGGTTCTGTCTTTTCCTCTTTCAAGCGCAGTAAATAAAAACTACATCGTTAACGTTTGTCGTCCAGCTGGCAGTCGGCTGCGCTGGATTTTCCACCATCAGGTTGGGTAATGGAACAAGTGAGTGAATGGCTGAGCTGTGTACACAGAGCACACAATCACCTCTCTTGAATGATCTTGCGCCAGGTGTCCGAGGTGTCGACAAAGTCCCTCAGGTTGTCATTGGTTACGATGATCCCGTCAGTCTTTTCTGCCAAGTGGAGCAGGAACCTGAGAGAAAGAGAGTGAGGATTACACACTGAGGATTTTCCACAAGTTCAAAGGTCAGAAGCTCTTTCACAGCTCGGCTGCTGCAGCCCACGGTTGGGGTGGGGTGTGTGTGTGTGT